TAGACTGTCGATTATCAAACTATAATACCAAAGCGTAAAATATGGCCGATCATCTGTAGTAAGCTGTTCGATTCTAATCTATATAGTATGTCTTATAGTTGTTTGAAAGAATGATTCTGATGTTAACAATTTTGACGATGAATCATCATCGATGATCATCTTATGGTGAAAAAAAAAAAAAAAAAACTAAAGTTATTGTTGCTATTTTTCTCAATCACCACTATAGCAATTGAAATAGCGACATTGGGATAGCAATTAAAGTCAAATGATAATTTGTTGGAACAGAAATTAAAACTGTAAAGTTCTTTTCGGCAGCTAAATATGTGTCTTATTTATGTACTGTTGAATGGCAAATCTGTAATCTATGCTCTTCGCATTCTTCTCAATTTAATTATTATCTTTTCAATACGCTTTTTTTCCCATAGAGCATTCTTTTTTTATTACTTTTTTTTTTTACTAAAGTTTTAGCGCATTCAAACTTTTAGTTTTTGTTGTCACATCATTTTTACAATAAAGGGAAGTGAAGGGAAAAAGAGCAAAGAAAAAAAAAAATTTATGAAGTTTTTTGCCAAGAAAAAAAATTTTTTTTTTTTGAAAAGACAAGAAAAAAAACAGTTTAAAAAGGGAAAGCTGTAATATGAAAATATGAAAGATGGAAAGGGAAGGTTTGTTTCGAAATTTTTTAACCATCATTATGGTTGGCAATTGTTGCTGACATCAATGTATTGGGATGGTATCCTTTTCATCATTTGGATGTACTTTGTTATCAGTTAATTTTCTATTTCTATTTGACAATTTTCTATTTTCAACTGCTGTCCGATGTTTAAATTTGGAATACACAGTGGCATACAGCCAATGTTGTGAAACTAAAATACAACTCTTTTTTTTTGCTTCACTCTCTTACCGTTATTGACAGTATAACAGTACAAAAGATTATTGATATGGAATAATAAGGAAAAGATTTTTTTGTGAAGTTTGCAAACAAAAAAAGAAAAAGACAATCTTTTTTTGAATATTATTTATGACAATGTACAAAGAAAAAAGGCAAAAAAAAAAAA